CCAAATTGACCCACAAGAAATTTATTAATTCATCAACTCCATGCGAGAAGGTTTGTGTGCTTCTCAAACGGACGGCTGCATCCTAACGAGGCTGTGTCCTTCTTCGTTCAGTCCTTCGGAGGCTTGTAGGCTCGAGTCCTCCATTAAACGCTAGAATGAGACGGTCTAGTTCAGAGATGAGCAACTTCGGTCCTGGAGAACCACAGTCCTGCAGAGTTTAGCTCCAACCCTAATCAAACACACCTGAACCAGCTAATCAAGCTCTTCATAAAACATAAATAAAAAAATAAAATAAACCATCTCATGGCTTAATGCATGTCTGTGTCATGACTTTACTTGAGGGGGCATATCACAATTAATTCACTATTAACTACTTACTAAATTCAGCTCATGATTTATCAGAAACTTTCTATCAAATACGCATGTAGTACAACGAGTATTCAGCCCAGTTAAGGTTTGATAAGGAGGAAAATAATGACACACCAATCCTGTGCAATTCAGTAATGCTTATGACGAAGCTGCATATAATAGTTTATATTATGACAATAATAAATATGGGGGGTGCAGAGTATGCTGGGCATATGGGCCCAGGGCACTAGGGGGCCCCAAATCACGACTTTGGTCGATAATTTTTTTTAATGTTTTTTTTTTTTTATAATTAAAAAATATATATATTTTACATACAAGAACACGTTAACTAATAAAATTGCAGTAAAATAAAATTAAAAATTACAATTATAGAAAGTAAGAAGTGAACGTGAGCACGCTCTCGTCACTTCAAAATATAGCGCATGATGTTAACCGCACAAAAAATAACACGATGGGTGGAAAGAAACACCTGTCAGGAGCACAAAAGCGAAAATGTAAAAAAACTAGAGATGAAGACGTTAAAAGAATGAAAGTTTCCCTTACGGACTGGGTTCTTACAAATCAGAATAAACAACATGACAGAGATGATTGTAGTGACAGACAGGGACAGACTGAACATGCTAATTGTTACGGCCTCAGTGCGGACACTAGCAGCGAAACGGGACAGCAGATTAGCAATAAACAAGCAACAATATGCAGAGACGAAACAGTATGAAGGGACAGCATTCAAGTCAGCGGCAGCACCAGCGATGACGACCTCAGAGAGACAGGACTACAGGTTAGCGAGAGTAAGGCCGCAACATTTCACACTGATGGTGCTAATAAACAAGCAACTGTCGGTGAGAGTGAAGCAGGACAGTCCGCCAGCACACCCAGTGTCACTGATGATAGCGTAGAACAACTAAGACAAACAGACGATGTAAATGTCGATGTGCTGCTTGATCATGATTACCTCTCAAACTGGCCTTTCACAGATTAAGTCACTGATTCATTTCGTATGATGCTGACAGAGAATGGTCCTGCGAAATTCCCAGATGGTCCATTCCCAAGATCACAGTACAGATGTTTTTCAAAAGCCTACTGCTATATAAGATTAACAAATGGGGAACGAGTGGAACGGGACTGGTTGATGTTTTCCCATAAAGCAAACAACGTATACTGCTTTGAGTGCAAAGTTTTCGGTGGAGAAAAAACACAACAGCCGCTTCGTGAAAGGATACGGTAACTGGCGATGTCTGTCAAGTAGATTAAAGCAACATGAAACAGGACCCAACCACACTGACGCTTACCTAGCATGGAAAGAACGTGAAACTAGGTTAAGACTGGGTAAATGCATTGACAATCAACTACAAGCTGCGACGGAAGAAGAAAGGACGAGATGGAAGCACGTGCTGACCAGGGTAGAGGAACTTACCTTTACGAGGTAAAAATGCCCTGATCGGAAATCCAAGAAATGGACACTTTATTGGATTAATCGAGCTTTTAGCCCATTATGAGACTGTCATGGCTCAGCACATTCAAAACATATCGACAGAAAAAAACGTGTGCTTCATATTTAAGTTGGTGTACACAAAATTAATTATTAAAATGCATCGCAGATTGTGTGTTAGATAAAATCAGCAAACAAGTGAGAGATGCAAAATATTATGCAGTTGAATTTGACTGCACGCCCGACATATCCAAGCAAGAGCAAGCTTCAATCATAATTTGACATGTTGACATTGATGAGAACAAAGTAGCTAAGATAGAGGAATCGTTTGTGGGATTCAGTGCAGTTACTGACACAACAGGTCAAGGACTTGCGGAGACTTTAACTGCCACATTAGAAAACCTAGGGATTGACCTATCGAATTGTCGTGGTCAAAGTTATGATAATGGATCAAATATGAGAGGAATTCACAGAGGAGTACAAGCTTTAATTCTGGAAAAGAATCCAGATGCATTGTTTATGCCGTGTGCGAGTCACAGCCTTAATTTGCTCGTGCGATGCTGCCTCATCAAACAGAGCATGTCTGAATTTTTTCTGAACTGTTCAAAGACTGTATACTATGTTTGCATCTTCAGGGAAACGCTGGGACATTCTGAAACAGTTTGTGGAGATAACATTAAAACCCCTCAGCGATACGAGATGGGAGGCAAAACTGGACTCGGTCAAAGCTCTGAGGTATCAATTCGGTGGCGTACTCGACGCTTTGGAAAATCTTGAACGTGAGTCTAAAGATGGCAAAATTTCTTCAGAGGCACATGCACTGTCCAATGAAATACAGACTATGGAATTTATGACTTGTCTTGTTATTTGGAATGACATGCTGACCGAAATCACACGCGCCAGCACAGCCATGCAATCTGCCAACATTTCTCTGGTTACAGCTGATTTGTTGATTGACAACCTGAAAAAGTTATTTTCTCAGTACAGAGAGGATGGGGTTGAAAAGGCTGTGACAGTTGCTCTTCTTTTAGCGAATGAATGTGATTCCTCTACAGAGTTTGCACAGAAGCGCAACAGAAAGCGCAAACCATTTCACGATGAAGTGAGCGCTGGTAAACCAGGGCACCAGGACGCCCAACTTCATTTCAAAGAAACTGTGTTTTATGTAATTGTTGACACCATAAACTGTGAACTCAACACCAGATTTGAAAATCTGGGGAATATTTCAGAGAAATTTAGTTTAATTTTGCAAATGAGTGAAATGTCAAAGGAGGATTTAAAAGAATCCGCAAGGTGCTATGCAGCAACGTCGTTGGATGTGTCGAACAACCTAATTCAAGAAGTCTGTAGTGCAAGCGGCCTTCTATGTGTGTGCAAAACCGCAATTGAAAAACTTAATTCTTCAGAGAAACCTTGAATCATTATTCCCCAATTTGGTTGTTGCATTAAGAGTGTTCCTTACCATGCCTGTCACAGTGGCCTCTGCAGAGAGGTCATTCAGTAAACTAAAACTTATAAAAAACTATCTGCAATCTACAATGGACCAAGACCGATTAGTGCATCTGGCACTCATATCACTAGAGCACGCAGTTGCACGGTCCACACCCTTTGATGAAATGTTAGAAAAATGGGCAAACATGAAAACAAGACGTGTTAAAATTTAATTGTATGTTATCTTTATGTCTGAAAAGTTTAGGACAATAAACTTTTAATTTTGCTGGCTACCAGTTCTTTTTTAAAGTATAATAAGACTGCAGAGTTAAAACTTCTGTTCCGCTATATTCAGTTAAGCTTGTTGCGGTGTTTAGCCGCTTGTGTTTTTATATTTCTTTATTGTTGTAATATGGTACTGAGAATAGAAAGGAAAACTGTTACAAATAATTTTAACTGTTAAAAATTATTTTTGTAATGAAATAAATAATAAGGGTTGTATAGTAGACTAGTTAAAACTGCAATGAGAAGCATGGTTATATATTTATGTATTAAAGTTAACTAAAACTGAAACTAAAATGAAAACCTTAAAAACATTTTCGCTACTTGAAATAAAATATTTAAATGTTATTTGAAATAATATAAATGTTAAGTAATAAATTATTTCAATTTCTTATTCGGTGTCTTTCAATTTCTTATTAAACGTCAAACACACACACACACACACACACACACACATTCATCAGGAAGAAGGGGGCTCAAATTTCTGTCTTGCATACCCCCTTAAAACTCTTCATGGCGCCCCTGCATACAGTGACATAGACAGAGCAACATAGCGGCAGGAACATTAGGTGTTGTCACAGCTCTCTTAGTTTACAGCTTGCTTTTTAACTTTTTAAGTCCTGTTCATTTTAGTTTTCTTGTGGATCATTCTAATAACCACTCATTATACAATGTATATGAGAAAACATTTGTTAATAATGCTGAATGGTTAGTTAAACAAACATACAATGCCTTGGGAAATTTCAGACATGGGAAGCACACTTTAGCAGTAACTTTTATTTATCCATCTCTGTACAAGCGAGTGAAGAAACATTCAAGGCCATCAACTCGACTTCATCAAAGTGAAGCTTTAGGCCTAATTATCATGATTTGTTTGCTATTATCGGGAGATATTCATCCCTGTCCCGGTCCACGCCACGCCACGCCACGCCACGCCAAACCAAAGAATTTATTGGATATTATGTCGGATTCGGCTGTCTCTCAGGTACGCACTCTGGGTCGCGGTACATTGCTGTCTGGTTATGTTCAACAAACTAACCTCCCTCGCTTTGGTTCGTCGGGTTTTGGTGGCGGTGTCTTGCCCGCATGGAGTGTCATGACGAGCAGGGAGGTGGTGGAGGCCCAGCGGCTGGGCGCTACCATCATGGACCGGTGTTCTGTCAATTTGTGCTACCCTGTCAGATTTTGCTACCTCCCATTAAAACAGTGGGTAGTACAATTCGACAACGAAAAAAGATGCCTGTAAAATTATGGTTTATTAACGTTAATGTAGATACATTAAATATTGTTGTTCAGCATGAGAAAAAGGACGCAATATTGATGTGCACATGCGCAGTAAACCCTGGTAGGACAATCTGATGGGTAGGATAAAATGTCAGGAAATCAGGGTCACACCGGCCTAGTGAATTCCATGTCGGATCTAGCTATCCCACAGGTACGCACTTTTGGTGGCGGTACGTTACTGTCTGGCTATGCTCAACACACTAACCACTTCCTTTCCTTTGTCTCGTTGGATGCTGGTGGCGGTGTTGGTGCGGGGAGCGTCGCGGCAGAGGAGGCCGAGTTGCGGGGTGTTTCCGTGGCCGGAGTTGGCGTTCCGCGGGGTGTCCATGTGGGGTTGTTGGCATCTGAGGCGGGCCTGGGTTCCCATGCGGCGAGCGGCAGTGACACAGACTTTCAGACGAGCTTGTGCATTACGATACCCTTGGGGAATGAAGGGAATTCTGCGCCGATCGAGTCACCAAACAGTTCCATTTCTGTGAACTCTGGTTTAGGTACTTCACAAGTGTTTGCAAAGTCTATGCAAAATGTAAAAATGAAATTTGTAAATCAAAGTATTTTAAAAAATAGGAAAAGGGAGTTCTTTCAGACAGTTAATCAATCAAGAACAATCTGGGATCCTAAAGTCAAGCCAAAGGGTCTCTTAGGTGGTCATTTGAATATACGAAGTATTATATCAAAAAGTGATCAAATTCATCATCTTTTATTAGACTCTAATTTAGATTTTCTTTGTTTATCTGAGACACGGCTTCGTGAAAATTCTCCATCTGCAGCATTAGATGTACCTGGTTTTAAACTGTATAGGAAAGATAGAGTTGGTTCTAAGAGAGGTAGAGTTATGATTTATGTGAAAACTGGCATCCAGTGTAATGAAATTGCCTGGGCAAATGGCATAGATTTGGAATGTATTGGTCTGAATCTTATACTATCATCACAGATGTCTTTTGTATTAATTGTCATTTATCGTCCACCATCTTCAAATATTAGTTTTTATGAAAACTTGAAACAATTACTAAAACAGTGTGATTTCAACAAAGAAGTTATTATTATGGGAGATTTCAATATTAATTGGGATGATAAAACAGTTAGAAAGAATCTCAAACAGATAACTGATCACTTCGATCTGAAGCAAATGATTAATGGGCCTACAAGAATAACTAATTCAACAAGGTCTCAAATTGATTTAATTTTTAGTAACTGAGCAGAGATAATTTGAAAAACTTTTAATATGTTAACAGGCCAATAAATAAATGGGATGATTTATTAACCAGAAAAGATCAGGAGGAAGACAGTCGAATATTCTCCAAAAAATTAGAGAGCACTATTAAAGATTTCAGTTGTAAATTTAATCCTAAAAATAAAAAACATACTGTCCCTTGGATGAATTCAGATATTGTAGAACTAATGAAAAAAAAACAGGATCTTGCTTTAAAAACTGCAAATAGATCAAAGTTAAGTCATGATAGACAACATTTTGTTACATTACGGAACATGGTGGTAAAGACCCTGAGAAAAGCAAAGGCTGATTTTTTCCTGAGAATAATTGAAGAGGCAAGAGGTAATTCTAAAACAATCTGGAATCAGTTGAACTACTTAAAAGGTGATAAAAGAAAAGATAGGTCTGCACTTGAATTGATGGTAAATGGGAAGCTGACTAACAATCCAGCTGATGTAGCCGAAGCACTTAATTATTACTTTGTTGACTCGGTAGTCACAATTGCACAATGTTTCTCTCCTAAATTATACAGAAGTTTATCAAGTTAATACAGTGGAACAAGCCCTTACGACCGTTCGGACGTTACTGCTCTGCGCTTTGCTTCCTATTTCTGTACTTTTCTCTGATTTTTCTAAGATTTTTACTTCAGCAGATCAGCACAGTGCTCAAGTGTGCCGTGAGGAACGTAATATTGTTTCACTGCCATCGGATGAACGTAAGTGAAATCAGTTTTGTGCGGGATTACTTTGAATTCATCATCTGATTAATGTGCACCAACGAACTGGGCCCCAACGATAACGATCGATCGTACATTTGAACTGTTTGACTGACTCAATGTACATTTGAACTGTTTGACTGACTTAACGTATATTTGAACTGATCATAAGATATGTAACTGTGCATACAGTACTGAAAGACAGTGTATGATGTGCACTGCAAGTTTTCTAAACTGTTTAACTGATCTTGAAAGATATATTTTTGTTTTTCATTAGCCTATTGTATTACGTTGTTCTGGAGGAAACGGAGTGTTTTACTAGAATAGGGTTCTAAATTGACGTTATACATATCTTGATTTAGTTATAGTATTCTAAAAAAAAAGAACAAAGCTAAGGCCGCTCTGAGACTACAAAAGAGGTTTATATTTTTTATTTAAAAGAAAAGAAGCAACTTGCATATCGTAAGGGATAATTGTTTATCCGCTTTCTTTAAAAACAAAAGGGTTGTTACTGGTTTCTTCATTTACTGTTTTCTTTAAAAAAAAAGGGAGTTATTACATTAATGTACAAATAAATCTTTGTTATTCTTTTTCTCTTTAACATTTGCACTTCGGTATTTAATTGAGTCTGGCAAGTTAATTCATTTAAGAAGTTACTGAATTCTTGGGAATTGCAAATAAGAATTGTTTAGTTGATCTTTAGTAAATTGGTACAGGAGGAAAATTCATTTTACAATTGATTTTGTAAATACAAAAAAAAGAGAAATACCGGCTTAATTCACCATCCAACTGCCGGGAATCCAGGATTCATGTTAGAGAAATAATTAAATTAACCCCTAGGGTTAAGGAAAGGGTTACATAAAGGAGGGGTCGTCGGGGCTGTGTTTCTTGACCTCAGGAAGGCATTTGACACTGTAAACCACAGAATTCTTATGTCTAAATGATTAGGTTTTAATTTCTCTTCACATACTTTAAGATGGATTGAATAATACTTGTCAGGTCGCACACAGTATGTTAGTCTACAGAATTATAAGTCAGCCCCCCTAAGTATATCCACTGGTGTTCCACAAGGATCTATTCTGGGTCCTTTACTTTTTACGTTGTACATCAATGATCTTCCATCCCTCTGTCCTAACACTAACATTCAAAGGTATGCGGATGACACTGTTATTTATATACACATAAGTAGAGTGTCACAAGTTGCAAATTAACTTACAGAATCCCTGGTTCATGTCACAGCTTGGCTAGAACAACACTGTTTACAGTTAAACATCTCTAAAAAAGTGTGTATGCTCTTTACCAAAACTAATAGTTTAAGTGTAGTGTCAGTAGTTTTTGTATCAGGGGAAAGATTACAAGTTGTATCTGAATCTAAGTACCTCGGTGTTCTGATTGATTCCAAACTTTCATTTAAGGCTCAGGTTAAAAAGGTCTGTAACCGGGTCAGATTTAGTCTATCAAATTTTAGATTTATTCAATTCAAGTTTAGTTCAATTCAAGTTTATTTGTATAGAGCTTTTCACGATACAAATCGTTGCAAAGCAACTTTACAGCAAATTAAGTTTCTACAATATTTAGTGGTAGCTTATCAGTGGTGACTATCAGTTAATGTACATATGGCAGAAATGTACGGAAAAATCAATTAAAGACGTAATCATGATTTCATGATTATATTATATTCAATCAATTCATGATTATATGTTGTCTGAGGCCGCTTTGATGTATGTGCATTCCATGATTATTTCTCATATTACTTATTGTTTGACTACTTGGTCGCAAGCTAGTATTACTACTCTGAAACCACTAGAGTCTTTGTATAAACAATCACTAAAAACTCTCGATAAGAAATCAGTTCAGTTTCATCAGTTCAATATAAAAAAAAATATATAAATAAAAATTTGCTAAACTGGGATAACTTGATCAAATATGTACATATTTGTCTACTGTTTAAGACTATACATAGCATGACTTCACCACTAAAACAGTTTCTGAATATTAGAACAACTGCTCACAGATCTACAAGGGGTGGTGAAAGAGGGGACTGTATTATTCTGCTCAAAAGATGTAAATTCAGTCAGTCTGTATTTTCGGTCAAAGCTGCAAGGGAATGGAACTCCATCCCATCAACTATTACTGTAGAAGATTACATACGTTTGGTTCTTTTCAGTCTCATCTTAAAAAATGGTTACTGACAACTCAGCACTGTCAACATTAGTACTGTATGCTTTACAGTAGACTTCCTTGTACTAATTGCTCTTGGCCATGTTGCCTTCTGTTGCCATCTCTCTCTCTCTCTCTATCGGAGTGGATGCTGGGAGTGAGTGCGTGTGTGAGAGACACGTGTGGGAGAGCGTCTGGCATTTTTCGGTTTCTTTTTTTCAAGCTGATTATTATCTCTTGGTTTTTCTTATTTACCTTTTTTCTTTTCTTTTACATCTCTGAACACTTTTTTTTTTGTTATTAGGGTAGGTTTTATTCTTATATCGCGTGGTGTGTGAGTGCGAGGCAACATGACGTCTACCCCCGTGGGGGGAGCGTCGCCTCTCACCCTCCGGAATGGTTTCAGGTGTACACCGGAGGCGAATACGTCTATTGAGGATGTTCTCCTTGCTGTAGGAGCCAAAGTCGGTCATGAAAATATTAGTTCGGCTTCAAGAATGAATAAGGCAGTAGTTGTTTTTTTGAAAATTGAAAATCAGGTGAAAAACTTGATTGAAAGCGGAATATGGATTAATGAAACGTACGTGCCTATTACACCGTTGTCGGCACCGGCAACGAAAATTGTCATCTCTAATGTACCCCCGTTCGTTGGTAATGAGAGTATCATTAAAGAGCTGACTAGATTTGGCAAAATTGCTGGTGCTGAAAAAGAAATTTCGTTGGGTTGTAAAAATGCTGCACTTAAACATGTGCTATCATTCAGAAGACAAGTTTACATGTTTTTGAGCTCTCCCACTAAAATGCTCGATGTGTCTTTTCGGGTATCTCATGGAGAGGGCTCATACATGGTGTACGCTAGTACAGAGACTTTGCGGTGCTTTGAATGCGGAGATTTTGGACACAAACATTTCACATGCCCGCACAAAGCACGTAATTCTGAAGAGGAAGGCCCATCCGAAGGCCCATTCAATAGGCCGCAGATTGTGACGGAAAGTACTACGCAACAACCTGAAAAGGCAGATACTATCACTGAGGTAAGGCAAAATGTTTTAGAAAATATTGTGAATGATGCTGAGGTTCCAAGTTGTAGTGATGTTGTTAGCAAGGGAGATGTTTGTGGTGATCCAGTACAGGAAAATGAGACACATAATAGGCAAAGTGAAGAAATGGATGATTTGTCAAAAACAACTATAGAAAGCTGTAGAGATGATGATTCATGTGCTGACTTTGATGTGGCTAA